TTTTATGAGAAGGAATCCAGGACCTTGAATATGATCAGAAACCTCTACACTACTGAGATGTACTCTTAGCCACCAAAGTTTAACATTATTTTAAATTCACCAAGATGAAGGTATGTTTTTCCTCGTAATTCATTAACCTGGGTGCTCAGATTTGGACACACGCAGCTTTGCTGGCCACCAGATAGCTCTACCTCTGACAGGTCCTGTCTCTACCAAGTCTCCTGTCTTCCCTACCATCAATCACACTAGTTCTGCAAAGTTCATACCCAGCAGCTTAGGTCTTAAGCTGCTACTATCCAATCAGCAGTGTTTCCAGGAATGACTGATCCTCCTGTTCCTGGACAACTTGTAGTGACTTCTAGGGAACAATGCATGGATTAAGATTTCCTGGAAACTGCCTGAGTCATTTCTATTCAAGGCATTTCATAATTTCAATTTGTGTATTGTTGTCACATTAGAGATTACAGATAACAGTTTTACTCTCCCTGAACTCAACTCCAATATTTTCCATTAGTCATGCTTCAGTAACACATTGTCAAATTCCTTATCAGTGCCAGACAGGATTCAAAGCAACTTTCATCTGATGCTGCTCTAGAGAATGCATTTCAGCAAATGTTTTACTATTTTCCAAGATATGCTCATTCACATAACCATCTGTAATGACAAATATTGAAATATTTTAAAATGTGCTTGCTTTCTGTTTTTTTCTGAGCATATCACTTGTCAGCATCGGTATTATTTAAGTAAACAATTATTGAATCACATGATATCAAGCCTGTGACTAGCTGTTCTCAGTATAGAAGACTATTTCCATTGGCCTTGGTGGTACATTCCCATCATTATGACAGAGAGAGGCTGAGGCAGGAAGACCATGAGTTCCAGACCATCTTCTACATATTGAACTTAGAGCCAACATGGGCCTTTGTTAAGACATTATCTCAAAAGAAACAATGAAATCAACTTCACAAGATACTGTCTGTCTTCAAAGATAGTAAGAAACAACTGATTCAATAAAAGTCAGAAAGTCTATCAAGGTTGTGCAATTGTGTGCTTTGCTATGATTGGAACAGAGGGAAGAATCTGTGATTCATGATATGCAATTTCATGATTTCCATATCTGTTGATCCTCTATTACTAATTCTGTCCATGAATTCTGAAATGAACACCCCTTTACTGTAGGTTCAACGAGTTATGATTTTTCCCTAAGCATAATATACTCTTTCTCTTCTTTCTCAGTTTTCTCTCATATCTCACTATGTGTTCTCTTGGCTAGTCAGATTTGGACGGTCAAACAGTCCTAATGTGCAGACTCATTTATCAAATAGTATTTCCTCCAAGAATATCCAAAAACTCTAGGCTTCTAAAACACTGAAAGAGTCAATCATCATTGTAAGTTTATCAAATAACCTGCAAATCTTTAGTGTATATTCAACAACCACCAAAGCTGCTAGAAAAAAACAAACATATAATAGAATAGTATAAACATATAAAGTTGATGAAAGGAAACAGAAGGAAGTAATAAAACATAAACAAAATATAAAAGTTCAATAGCACATTCATAAAATTGTGGAGAAAAAAGAGATAAAATGATTCATTTTTATGAAGATCTAAAAGAATCAGAGTATTCTGTGACAGTTAAAGTTATTATAGTTGTAACTGGGGGAATGGCTTGGTGGTAAATTTGCTTGATGCAACTGTGATAACCCAAGTTAGGTTCCCCAGCACACACACATACAGAGAGAGAGAGAGAGAGAGAGAGAGAGAGAGAGAGAGAGAGAGAGAGAGAGAGAGAGAGAGAGAGAGAGTACTTGGTATGGTTACAGGAATCAGCAACCCAAGTTCTGGGAAAGGACAAGGGGATCTCCCTGGCTTCCCAGCCAGACATTCTAACCAAAATAGAGATTTTCAAGTTCAGTGGAGAGAGACAGAGGGAAGAATTCAATACCGAACCCTGTCCTGCAGATGCACAAATACCCACAAAATATACCACATGGCTTTCTCTTCAAGTACCTCCCATGCATAAAGAAAAAAACATGCATAGCTCAGGGATCACTGAAAGAGAAATGTAAGAGAATAAATGTCTTGGGTGAGGTCTTATATCTTGATAGAAAAAATTTTATCATTTTTAATGTTGTCAGGTCTAACTCTATAAAACCAGATTTATTCTGTTACAGCTACAGATTTTTTCCTAAATGTGAACCTTTAAGACTTAGGAATTTTTTTTTTATATAATCTCCTTCAGCACCAGTAATTTCATACCCATGGATATTTGTTATAAATAACTGTTTGCTTGGTACTTGATTTTTCTAGTGGAGACTTTGTCTGATTAGAAAAAGAGATTACACATTTTCCTAATACTATTCTTCATTTCATAGAGAGATGAATGAATATAATTTTTAAAAAATCTGTCTAACATTTTTGCATAAAACAGACCCTGCATAATGGTGAAGTTCCATAATGATGGTGTATCTTGATTGTAACTTACCAAACATTCTTGGAATCAGAAGCACATTAGACTTCAAAATTTCTCAGATTTCTGAGTATTTACATATGCAAAATAAGAATTCCATGAGAAATCCCTAGTTTAAACTTGAAATTCAATTATGTTCCTATATGCCTTATATGTACTGGCCGAAGATAATTTTATGCAATATTTTATGTCACTTGTACATTGACTGTGAATTCAGGGATGTCATGGTGTCAGGAGTGAAATTTTCAGAGTAGCAATGTTAATTTGTATAATGAAGATGATGATGAGGAGAAAGGAGGAGGATAATACCTTAAAGGCGTACTTTAGCAAATACAAAATAACTTCCTGTGATGGTGGAAGATGGCAAACTAACTCTTGGTAGCCACTGATGACCTAAGCATCAACAAGCAGAAATAGTAGAAGTGCAATGCCTGGAAATTACGCATGAGAGAATTTCTGGAAACTGGTCACAGCAATTCTTGGAAAACTGCACGGAAAACCGGTCGGCTAACTGATGATCATTAGCCTTGGCGGTTGATTATAAGTGAGCTGCCAATGCTTTGTTTGTGAGCCTCCGTGTTCAAAATCTTTGACTTAGCATGTGTATGTCTAAGAGTGCATTAGGAGGATGTTGGAAGAGTAGAAGTGACTAGCTATGATCCTGAAAACTGCTGGCTGGCCTCCTGTTAACTGCAGAAGGTGGAATTAACTTACAAATTAGCAGACCACAGTTTACTGGCACATATTTAATTGCTGGAATGGAGAGAGAATAAGTTCTGTATGGTAGGAAGTTTAGACCTACAGAATTTAAAAGATAATTACATTGCTGGTGACACGTAGTTTGGTCTAATTTGTGGTGGCAGCTATAAAATCCTAAGACACTTCTGATGTGTTCTGACTGGTGTAATTATCTTATACATTCAATGCAAACTTAAAGCAAACAATCAAAAATTCACAGGCCCATACTACATTCAACACTCACACCCTGCCTTTTTGTGAACCTCTGTAATGGCCCGGCCGGCTCAGTGCTGAAGTTAGATGACCCAAAACAACATGAATAGTGTGCCATATATCATTGACCATGAGGAGACTAAGATTTTACATTCAGTGTGCATTTGTGAATATGTCATAATAAAAAACCTCATTTTGTACACTGACTATATTCTAATAACATTTTAAAAATTCAAAGCGGGAATTTCACTGAATATCCATCCTTTTTATATTTTCCTAATAGAATAATTGTAATTCAAAGACTGCATATTATGGGCCCCTTGAACTATTCTTCTGGAAAGCAGAAAGCCACACCTGTGTCTGAAATCTTGGGACAGAAACAGATTAACTTCAGGCTGGTCAGGAAGTTCAACTGCATCTTCTCAAGCCTTGCAGCTGCCCATGCTCCCAGGGAGGAAAACTGACAATTGATCCCGAGTCATGATTATAAACATAAGAATAGTGGAGATCATGAAAACCTAAAGATGGTGTGCAAAGGACCAACTTTCATGACATGGGTGGTTAATTCTTTGCCCCAAATTTGCTTCATTGCTACTGTTGTCCTATAACTATATAAGCATCATAATTATTTGTGAAAAATAGTAATGAAGGGAGGAAGGGGGAGAGGTCATAACAGAAGAAAAGTATCAGTTGTCTAGTAAAGGACATTTCAGAGCATGATCTAGGTAAATAAACTTAGTGGGCACCCAGAGGAATGTACAGTGTGGTTCCAAGCATAGCACTACAATAACCCTCACTGCAACCTTATAAAATTCACCACATTTTTCTCTTTCTGTTTCTGTGGCTACAGAATAAGGGTCTGGAACCCAGTGAGCTCTGCCTGCCACCGTTTGCACAGTTTACACTTAGTTACTGCACTCGCAAAGGGGGCAGCAAGCATGATGAAATGAACGGGACATACATAGAAGATTAGCCTTTGACAGGTGTCCGATACTCGGCACTCCACTCCTAGTTTCAGAGAATGCTTAACGATCTTATAAAACAAGAGTAGATAAAGCATGTGAATGTTGTCTGATATGAATACTGATTCCTCATATTATCAAACTAGCAATTTTTCTACATTTGATGTGCTCTTTTAATTATTTCCTCTAAGGGTTTGAGCTAGAAAGATGAGGATGGTGTGCACGGTTATTAAGGAGATCGTCGAGTCACTTTTGATATTATTAAAGATCTACTGTTTTCCCTTAGATTTAATTCACATATTGGCCAAGAACCCAGGTACAAACTTAATGCATTAAATGTTAATAATAACACTAGACAAGTAATTGTGCAACAGGAACAAGGGTTTATTAAGATAAAATTATTGTAATTTTTGGAGAAGTGAAAAATTATCAGGTTTATCAACAATGTAGTTGAGTTTTCCCTTAGTCTTGCAGCTTGACAGAGCCAAATTTAAAGATTAGAAAAGAAAACAATCAACAGAAAATCAAGAAGATTTCAACAATTTTCAAGGATAAAATTCTCAAGGATAAAATGAAAGAATCCGTGTAGTATTGGCATTGGAGAGTCAAAAGATTAATCAACAGAAGCCAACTGCATAGATTGGTTGGTAACAAGATGAATAGAACCTCCTAGAAGGAAAATAGAATGGACTCCAGACAGTAGATCTGTAATATCTGGTTGGAAAGCTGTAATTCAGACATCTGAAGCCACTGGACCCACAGCCCTGTGAGTAACAGCTTCCAGATCCATAGCCCATAGACTGGCAGCTTCTGGATCCAAAGGCCAGAGACCCAGCATATGTCCCCTGGCAGGGACTGCAAGGTGTGAAGCTCCTGGGGTAGTAGCAGGCTGTCTGGCAGGGACGGGACACCACACAGGATCTCTGGCAGCTGGTGGGCTCAATGAAGGTCTCCTGACAGTCACTGCTGAGGGAGGCTCCCAGCTGGCAGGGACTGGGAGAGCAGCTGGTGGTGGTGTAGACCAGGTTGCTGGGGTAGGAAGGACCACAGGAGGAACCTGATGAGGGCAGGCAGCTCCTAAGGGAGCCGGAGGAGAAGTTGGCAGAGGAGCAGCTGCAGGTCATGTTGAGAGGAGATGAGAGCTCAGCTGGATGTAACTGAGAGGATTCTGAGTTTGGATGTCTCCCTGTGGAGAGCTGGGTTTATATACTCTCAGCAACAGGTGTGGTACCCAACAGTCTCATCCTTGATGCATTTGTGTGCTTCCTGGTTCACAAATGTGGGACTGGGTAATCTCTGTAATTGTAGTTCATTTGAATAGTTTTCTGCACAGTATATTTATGAGTGTTGTAAGAAAGGCCAAAGTGCTACTCCTATCTACAAAATGCTATGACTATTTTTTTATTAACGCCTGTCCCTTCATAGCTATGGAAGCCCTCCCCATTCCTCTACTGTGTGCTACCTGCCTATTCCTGTACATTCCTGCCTTGCTAGTGAATGCTTCTTCCCTGAAACTGGAGGAGATAATGTTAGTTATCTGGATACTTGGTATGTTTCCATATAGATGGGAGCATTTAACCCTGTCATTCTCCATTGCCATTCTGCCAAACTCCTTTATGGCAATTTAGTGTGGTGGTAACAGAACACAATTATACCATGGATTACAGTTACACACTGCATATCAATTGAGTAGATACAATTTCAAAATAGATAAAAGCAACGTACTAAGAGGAGCAACTGAAACGTTCCCACATGCTGACATAGGGAGGAAACAACTGTAACAGTAGATATGAAGAAACAGGGAGGGACTTCACAATCTTTCCGTTGAACTCTTTGTGCTTTTGATATTGCTCTGTTTATATTTTTAAAAACAAGATTTTTAAAAAAATATTTCACAGTCTGTCTTGGAATGAGTGGTCTCTCTACCCTTTCCTCCTCAGTGCTGAGACTGAAGAGGTGCGTGTCACCTTGTCCTTACACTGTGATTTCTAGTTTCTATGCCTGAATAGTCACTTTTTTGCAAATTAAACATACTTAACTTTTTCTCATTCTCCTTCCATCGGTTGCATCCTTGATCATTGATGCTTCTAACCATTGCCCCATGCTTCTGCCCTTCTTGATATTGGGCACCTTGTGGCTTTTTGTTGGTGCTGTATCCTTGTACCCTTCTACACTTTTTCTGCCTAGGTAGGAAGCATATGAATATCTAAAATTCCCTCTTCCTCCTCCTCTCCTCCTCCTCCCCTTCTTTCCTTTTCTCTCATTCAGTCTGCTCTTCCTCCTCCTACCTCCATTTAATTCTTTTGTTTGTTCTGTGCCTAACTGTTACTTTGTTGTCTGTTTCATCTTTGCTTTCTTTTATTTTCATTTGCTTGTTTGTTCTTTCCTAAGGAACTACAGACTTAAAGTTGAAAATATGTTTAACTGACTTATTCAATTCCTGCTGTGTAACCAGTGTTCTCTATGTTATACTCACTGACAGAATATTCTGTGTCAAAACATATAGAAATTGTATTCAGGTAGAATGGGGGTGTACTACTATAATTTATGGCAAATCTTTTCACAATTTTCTAATAAAACATAATCCATTTGCTATTCTCATAAAGGTCAAATGTATAACAACAGGAAAAGTACTGTAATGGTCATTGTAGACTTAATAAAAGTCAAGGAGGGAAGATGTGAGGATACGAAAATTTAGCTATTCCAATTTTATGATCTCTGTTTTCAAGAAAAAAAATCATGTTTTGTTATTTTGTGCTTCAGGCTGAAGAGCCTAACGGTAAGATAACAATGGAAGTATTCTTTCCCCTTTCCTTTTTTTGTTGTTTCATAAATAACTATATAATTTATATTGAGAACAATAGGTGTTAAAAACAATAATTCTATAAGGCAAGAAATTATTTGATGAGTTCTTTTTCAGGTGTCCTGCCTTTTTCAAAGACTCTTCGTGAGCTAGTTTGTGTGAATAGGCTATCCTGATTTTTGTCTAGAGAGCTATAATTTTGTCCTCATAAGTTGATGGAATGTTTAAAGTTTTTTAAAAAACCCTAAATTTGAACTGAATTTATCTGAGATTATACTTTTTCATCTGCATAGCTCCATGGTTATTTTCACTTAACTTCCACAGAAATGGAAAAACTGGAATAATTCACATAAAATGCAAGACTCGGCAGGTTACTCACACAGAAGCTTCTGATATTTGATTGTGTATTCTCATCAGTAGGTGATGAAAGTTATCTTTTAATGTTTGAGGTATTTCTAAAGAAATTCATCTATGAAGAACATTATGACTTCAGAGATACCTACAACCTCTTTCCTTTAAAATGTCAATGAATCTGTTACTCACAGTACCAGGATCTTGCTTTTAAAATGGTTATAGATTATAATCTGAACAAAAACCAACGTCTCTGGTACTAATATTCTAATGTAACACTATTAAGAACCATGGAATGTATTCTTTTCATTATACATCACTAAATTAGAACTCTCTAATTCAAAGAGCATTTGACTCCATGTGATCAAAACTGTACTCATGACAGAAGACTCATGTATGCCATTCTGAAGGACACTTATCCCTTTAATAAATTTTCAACACTTTTCTCAAGATATCACTTTTAAATTTTTATCTGAGGTCAGAGATACGCTGCTTGCTATCTAATACACATATTAATAAATTCTTTAGACTGGAGAGACAGCTCATGAGTTAAGAGCACTGGCCACTCTTCCAGAGAGCCAGTTTGATTCCCAGTGCCCATATCAGGCAGCTCACAACCACCAATAGCTCTAGTTCCAGGGGATATAACACCCTCTTCTGGCCCTCAGGGCTACCCACATGCACACGCATATGCACACACTCTCACACATACACATCAACTAAAATAAAAATTAATATTAAAAAACCCTGTACTTTCTTTCTTATAAATTTGTTCTGAAGTCAATTAAAACAGAGATTCCAAGGCCAGAGAGATGGGTCAAGGTTTAGAACACTACCTGCTCTTCCAAAGGATGGGTTTCAAATCTCAGGACACACATGATTGCTCACAGCTGGTTGTTTCTACAGATTCATAGATCCACAACACCATTTTCTGACCTTCTGAGTGTACACAGGGCACATATATTTAGGTAAACACATACACACAAAAGATAGTATAATTTTTAAAACATGGATTCCAATAGACACTGCTTATTTAAGAGATGATTCTACCTACAGAGAGGAAGATGCTAGGATATAGAGAAAATGAAGCAACTGTCAGCAAGCACTTGAGCTCAATTTGAATACATTCTTTTTACAGGGGCTCAGCATACTTTCACAAATGCAAAGTCTTTAGGAAGAATTTTATACACATTTTCATAGTCAGTTTTCAAGGTGTTCCTAAGACCTCTACTGGGGCACTAGAAAGGTGCTGACAGATGCTTTGGGTGAGAGGGGGTGAGATGTTACTTTGAGATTCACAACCACAAGAAAGGAAATAAATGAAGGATGCAAGGATAGAATGGAGCAACAAGGAGATAGGATAATGTGAAATCGTGTGAAGGTAGAACGTTTGGTATCTCCATTGAAAGCAGAGGTATGTGACATAAGGACAACAGTCACTGTGAGACACACGAGTCAGACACTCCTAACCTTAGCATCTGAAACTGTCCAAGCTTAATGGGTGTCATCACCTTAAGGTGGGGGTAGACTCTGAGATGCACCCTCATTAGACTCAATTCTATGTCACCAGGTCAAAAATAAATATTTTGAAGTTCTATAAGTTATCAGTTGCAGACTGATTAATCAGTTGATTAATTTTCCCAGAAAAAAATAGAGAAAAACGTACAAATATGTGTATGTACATATGCATATGCGGTCATGAGTATGCCTATACACACACATTGTCGGGAGACATATCAAAGCATTGCAGACTGACAGAGATCTTATATGAGCCGGAACTAAGCCGCTTAACGTCGAGCTGTGATGCTCTTAAAGTTACATCCTGATTTAAGCAGCTGTGATTAAGGCAAAAAGAAACTTCTACAGATTTACAAGACTGTAGAAGGAATTTGGAAATCTGGACCTCTCAAAGACTTGGGGCCCTGGGAAATGTCCCCAGATCTTAGAAATCCAATTCTGACAGGAAAAATGAATTTCTAATGGGCAGATCCCTATAAGGGCACAAGGGCAGAAACCCAAGTTTAAATTACATCAGTTCCTGATTGACTGAAATGATCTAGGCTATGGGAGTCCTCACTCTAGCAACCTGGCTGAACTAAAAGTAACAACCTCTAGAGGAGGATAAAATCTGTTTCCACGTGAAATGCCTGTCATTTCTCAGAGGACAGAAGAAATGTAAGAAGTCTGAGACACAAGAGAGTGGCAGAAATTAGAATGTGAATCACAGGATTCATGGAAGCAGACCAAAACATTAAAGAGCAGTCATGTGTCACATAGCCCTGACTCAGTCAGCAGCACACTGCACAGACTCTGGAGACCCTGTAGAATTGTGTTACCTAGTGATAAAGCAGCCATATTTGTTTAAATACACCCTGACATTGGAAGTTATCAAACTTGCTAACGGCACGTTTTCCAAAACTCGCTCCTATCATTTGGCAGAAGCGCACCTATGTGAAGAATGTGACAATATGAAACAGGAACATTTTATGTTCCAGAAACAATGATACCTGTGAATAAAAGACGTGCTTGAGAAATTTGATAGGCATATGAAAATAACGCAGTTGAATTTAACTAAAAATTTAAAAATAAGGTAACTAATTTGAAAAAAAAATGGATGGGTTTCATCATGTTCCCATTGACAGCTTCAAACACAGTGAACTGAATTAGGAGAAAGGGGAGTTTCCAAACTAAAGGTCATGGCAAAATGTTTGAAAAGACAGGAAGGCCGGTAGAAGTCTTGTGGAAATCAAAGTGCATGCCGTAGTTATAACTGGACCTAAGGAAAACAAGGGGAGAATGATGTAGTAGAAATATTTGAGGAGACTTGAGATGAGATTGTACAAGTATTGATCAAAAGTATCAATGATGAAATAGTAAAGGAAAAAAAATAAGTGATTCTAATGTGTCTAGCCAATAAGGAGAACATTAAAGATAGATATAACAGACATGATTTAGATATAGATTGCACAG